ACCAAACAGTCCCCAGCGCTTCTGTTCTCCCAGCCCTTAAAACACTGATTGCCATGAACTGGCAGCATTAGCTCCATATTTTGAGCACATGCAGTAGGAAAGGCATTTATTTTGATAATACTTGAATTGTTCTCCCTCTTTTCTGAATGGATTGTTATGATACAAGATTAATTTGCTTTTGGGGTATTTACCAGAGCCTTTTTTCTCAGACTCCCAAAGACACCCTGACACCCACTCTCCCTCCCTGCCAACCAATGAATTTTCAATTCATGAAATTGCTCTGAAATTAATAAATTTTTGGATTTCTTTCAAAGCATTTTCTGTGTTTTGAAGCCTGGAGTGCTTTTTTGGGTACCTTAACATACTCCCAGAGCTGGAATTTTGCTGTTAAATATTTGCTAGAAGAGTTTTTTCCCCCCACATTTCACTTGACTTTAGGAGCTGGGAATTAATATAAGCACCAAATATCCTGACACTTGAGATAAAACAGTAAGAGTGGGTGCTCACTGCAGCAGGCCAAGGTGACTGGAGGTCAGGGCTGACAATTACTGTAGGACTGGAGCCCTTTTCACTGCCCCAGCATTTCTGATGCCTTGCACAGACTCCAGCAGTCTGAATGTGCTCCTGGGGCAGCTCTGTGGAGAGCTCCTGCCCTGGAGAGCAGGGCTGATCCTGCCTATGCCTCTGCCAAACCAATTCTCCTGATTTTGTCCTGCTTATTCTTAGGACAACTGTGGATTTCAAAAGAGGAGAAACAAACAAACAAAAAAAAAAAATTACCCAGAGGTTTGACTACTGAGGCTTTTCCCCACAGTTAACTGCTCCAAAGTATGGACATTTTCAGAGATTACCAGTTTGCTGAATACCATTTTCTCCCCTGTGTTCAGTCTCAAGTACCTTTTCTTTCCACAGCCTATAAAAGAAGGCTAATCCACAAACTGAAAGGCAAACCCTTTACTCTTCCTAAGCCTTGGTGCAGGGAGCAATATTCAGCAAGAAGCAATTGCACCATAACTGCTGCCCGAGGCCTGATCCCTACAGGATGAGAACTCAGCGAGTGATAAGTTTCCAAATGACCTCTGTCAGCTCCTAAAGAGAAAAAGGAAAGACAGCAGCAGCCCCTGTGAGTGGGAAAGGCCAGCTCGAGCTCAACGTGATGGGATCAAAGCGCAGCAGAGAGCAGAAAAGTGTCCTTGCATCCCCATCTAGCGGCTTTGGGTAAAATAAATCCGTGGTGCCTGGCTGGGACCGGCTCTCCTGTGCCACTGCAATCTGCTCGATGGCAGATATGCACACTGCTAAAGCTGCTGCATTAGATCTGGTTTGGTAAATGCTCCTCAGGGTTTGAGAGATGACAGAACGCCAATGGAAAAGAAGCTTTGACCCAGCTTTCAAAGAAGAGTGAATTTAGCTGTGGTTTCTCTTTTTAAGAGTGGGACAGACCAGAAAGATTCACAAAAACAGCCAAAGTCTGAAAGGTGAGCATCCCCCACTGGGCTCATGCCTGCTCTTCCACTGCTGCTTCTCTCTGCTTCCCCATGGAAATGTGGCTCATCATCCTGTGTACATCCCAAGAGATATTCCAGTTTTGTAACATATTTTGGCCTGGCAGAGTGGCTTTTCCTGGGATGCTTTGGCTGCTGGAGCACTCAGATCCCCTCAGTTCAGATGTGGTGTGATGGCTGGGCTCAGCCTTGCTTTAACAGCAGGTGAGTAAAAATAATTTAAATTCTGATCCTTCATTTCCTGTCCCCCTCAATTCATCCTCTTGAACCACAAACAGCTCTCAGGGACCAGTCTCCAGCCTTACTATTTGCAATGCTGACTTTGAGATGGGGACAAAATCTCTTTTGCTGGCAATCGCTCATGTTTTGGTACAGCAGGATTTGCAATATCTCTGTTTTGGAGAGCTGTTCCTGCTGGGTGTGCTTAATCCTGCCCATGTTGGACTCCCAGCACATGCTGCTGGCAGCAGCACAGGTACAGCCAGAGAAGTTTAAATTCCAAGTGTGTTTTCCTGGCTGAAGACGTGTGAGTTTTTGGGGGGTAAAAGGCACATTTTACCATATCTGTCTTTGCTCTCAGAGACATCTTTTCTGAATACTGGGTGGGTTGTAGAGCAAAGCTGGTCTTCACCTTGAATCAAAGAGCCTTTTTTGCAGGCAGCCACATTGGACCGTCCCTCTGCCCTTACCTTGGCTCTGTAATTACAACTACATGAGTTATGACCTCTAGTCAAACGGGTTGGAAAGGGTCATTTTAAAAGGTCTGGAAGAGCTGTACCAGGATCCAGGCTTTAATAAAGAGGCAGAAAAGTTGTGTTTAAAAAAAAAATAGCTCCAAGACGTAGACACTTCAGATTTTTTTGGGAGGTTGAACAGAAACATGTCTGGAGCCCAGCAGCAGTGAGAGCTGCTGCCCCCAGAGAGGGATGGGTTCTGCTTCTGCAGTGCCTTTTTTTCAGTATTTATCAGAAATTATGTTCTTGTTCCCATAAGAAAATGTCCTATGTAATCATATTTTAAAAAATACTGTTGCTCAAACTCCAAAATCTACTGCTGCCCAGGATTAAAGGATTAAAGAAAAACAACATTTCTTCCCTTAATTAGAAATCTTGTTGTTAACTGTCAGGAAAATGGGTGCTACAGAATTGCTGGTTGTCCTTCTCTCTACCAGGATTTGTTTGATGGAGAATAACATGTTTGCATGAAATATTTTACCTAGGAGTAAAATTTTTAGGAGAGTACAGAAACTGCAGCACTTGAGAGGATTAGTCTAGAAAACTGAAAATATCTGACTGATGAAAACATTTTCATTAAAACAGGAAGAGCTTTGCTCACAAGAAAATCAGACTTACATTACCTGAGCTTTAATTGATTCATCTAGGTGGATTTGGAAGAGTCTCGAAAAACAAAACAGTAAACATGGAATCATACACTGATTTGGGTTGGAAGGGACCTTAAAAACCATTTAGTCCTAAACCTTCTACCATCAACACTCTAAAAATGCCAAGGACCCCCTGACAATCAGCCTAGAAGCTGATTGCTATTTAGAAGGTAAATTCATGGCAATTTGATGTCAATAGCCAGGCTTTCCTGGCTGGAAGTGCAGGCCCAAGCTTGTTGTGGTGGGCTGACAGAGATGGAAAATGAGAGGGGCTCGGGGCCACGGGCAACACCAGCCCCAGACAGGCCTGTCCCGGGGAGAATGGATGACCTATTTCTGCAGGATCAGCCCAAAACTGATCTCCGGAGCCGCAGAGTGTGGGAGGAAACACAGTGGCTTTGTTTTCCTCCCCTTGCAGCCCAGCTCTGCCTTCAGCCACCCTCTCGCTGCCCAAAAATCAGCTTTTTCAGCTCGCGCGGAAAGCAGAGCCGAGAGCGGATTTAGTCACGAGCTGGGCAGAGCTGAACTGGCAGAGGGCACATCCTGCAGCAGCTGCCCACAATGTCCCGTTGTTGTGGGCAGAACAAAGGCTGCTCTTGGAGCCTAATGCCAGCCCAGGGCGGCACAGGGACACGGGGAGGGGGAGCAGCGCCCGGCGGGCGTACAAGGAGCTCCCGAGGGCTGGCAGCTCCAGGCTGCTGGACGTTTCTCCAGGGAGGTATGGCTTCCTGAGGGACCTGGCTTTGGCATGGGGGCTCAGGGGTGGTGCTGGGTGTCATAGTGACACTGGGACAGGGCAGAGGTGGCTGGGGGACACGAGGCTGCTGCGGGGACAGCGCTTGGGGCTCGGCTGGGAGGCTCCAGGTGCATCCACTGGTGCACGGTTGGTGTCTGGGGCATGGAATCTCTGGTGGGACTTATGGCTGTGTGCAGGGTCCCAGGACGAGGGAAGAGATGAGAATCTTGACTCTGTGTCATTGGTCAAGTAAAAACATTTTCAGATGCTGGGTAAACAATTCTCCAAATCACATTCCAAAGAAGCAAAACATGGAGAAGCTGAAGCTTCCCAGCTTCTCAGGAGAAAAGATCCTGGCAAAACGATCTTCCATAAATATGTCTGTGACAGGGACTGATGAGGGATTGAATGAACTGATGTAAGATCACTGCCCAGGTGGTCACACCAGGAGCCAAAGGTGCACTTTAGACCTAGCCAGGAGGTTCTGGTCTTGCCTCATCTGGAATATATTGAATATTTCGTTGAAGAGTAGCAATGCAGCTGTTTCTGGCTTAATGTGCTGCTGTGGACCTGCCTTGAGGTGGATAACTTAAATCCATCTGGAAGCTAAATCTAGTGCAAACCAAGGCAGGTCACTTGGTGGTGAAGCATCTCCACCTGAAGTCCCTGGTCTGAGGGATCTGTGTGGGGCAGGGAGTTTCTGGGGATCTCAGCATGGTGGGAGGTTTTATCTGCTCAATCTGTTCCACCAGGGGAGAACAGATTCTGGGAATTCAGGGAATGGGAGTGATGAGGAGCCTAATGCTGCTTTTCCCACCAGTGAACCTCACTTGGAAATACAAAGTCTTTAAATCCTTTCTTTTTTACATTCATGTCATTAGATTTTAGGCAAAAGGAGCACCAGTCCTGTGGGTGAAGGTAGGAGAAAAATCCAGAGGCAAGTGCAGGGAGCACCCAGGATTTTCTGTATTTCAAACAGTGACCACTGCACTTTGTGGGGACCTCCAGCCACCTCTGCCCTGGATAGCTGTCCCCAGAAATGTTTCCTTGCTTTCTAATCCCTGCGGTTTAGCAAGCAGAGTGTGAGCAGGCTGGGCTCCTGCCCCCGTCCTCGCTGCCTGTCCCCTGTCCCTTTCCTGGGGCAGGGTGCCAGGCTGCCGGGGACTGCTCGCTGGAGGTTCTGCCACTATGCCCCATTTTCCCCTGAGTCACAGACGGAAAAATCGCTTGCTCAGCTCTCCGGGCAGCCAGCGAGCTCCTCTGATCCCTGGGGAAGGCAGGGATCTCCCAGCGCATCCCCCATGCTGCAGACAGGCATGCAGGAGAGCGTTCCCTCCTGCCCCGGGCGGCCAGCGGGAAGGAGACCAGGCTCAGACACATTAAAAACTGGACAGGAACAGCCCCGCTCGGCCCGGCTCACACCCACACCCGCAGCCGCTGGGGCTCCGCAGGCTCGGAGGTGCCAGGGTGTCCCTGCGTGCTCTGCCCCGCTCCGTGCGGACGCGCCGCGAACGCCCGGCCCCGCTCGGGTTTCCCCCTGTCCCTGCCCCGCTGACGCTGCCTGTGCCCTCAGGTCCGGCAGAGCCGAGCCGAGCCGAGCCGTGCGGGGCCAGCCGGACATGCTGACCTGGCCTGGCTGAGCCCAGCCAGCCCCGCTGCCGGGAATCGCAGCGTGTCCCGGGCTGGAAGGGACCCGGGAAGAGCATCAGCATCCACAGCCCGGCACAGCATCCCCCCGGCATGGAGCCCGCTGCCGAGGTGAAGAGGTAGGTGGGCTGGGGCAGGCAGCGGGATGGTTCCCACCCGCTCTCTGTGCCTGCGAGGTGGGAGGAGCAGCAGATGTGTCCTGGGAAGGATGGGGGCTAAGGGGGAGATATTCAGCCCCTCCGCAGCCTAAGTTTAGCAATAATGAGGTTTATGAGTTATTCTTGCAATTTGTTTTCCTAAAGAAGACTTTTTCAACTAAAGAGGCTGCATCACCTAAAGTAATAATGTGACTTCCCTGCAGGTGCTGTCCATGTTGCACCCAGCTCAGTTCATGGAGGGAAGAGTTTAACCTTGCAAGCTCAGTCTTAGCTGGGAGCTGTGGCAGGACCAGCTGCCCATGGGCATCCTGCTCCCTGGCAGTCCCTGCCTCGGTCCTGCTTTGGGTGTTGGGGTCCTGGGGTAGGGCAGGACCAGCCCAAAATGTTATTTACAAATTTTAGAATCTGGTCTGGATTTTAACCAGATTTTAGAGCAAGTTCATTTGTTCCTGTTTCACCTTCCCAGCAACAAGTCAGTCTCAGAATCTAACCCCTGCCAGGAGAAATGGCAAAAGTGTCAGTGGAAGAGATCTTGGCATCATCCGTGCTGGTGAATGCTTGTGCTGAAGTCTGTCCAGGTCTCCTGGCAGGTCTCCTGGCATGGCTGGAAACACTTGACCTGTCAGAAATGGAATTCATGTCCAAAGCTGTTCCTCCCTGCACAGGAAAAGCCACGCTACCCTTCGGCATTTTAGTGGGAGATTTACACTGAAAAGCACCTTGCTGGGTTCACCCAGCTGAGGGGACAAAATAACCCTCTGCGGGCTTTGATGGGCAGAGATGGAAGGGGTTGGAGGGTTGAGTGGAAATTGGAGCCTCCAAGCTGGAGATGATGGAGGTGGGCTGGTTCTGGCCTCTTCCTGATGAGCTTCTGAGAGGTCTTTCCTGGGGAGAGGTGAGGTCAGGGTGGTGGAAGAGAGACCTTTGACATGCCCCATGGACATGAGTTACATCACTTTGGCACTGAAATCAGATGAAATCAGCTGCTCTTGCAGGACTCTGGAAGTGCCCCAGTGTCTCAGATTTCTGGGATCTCTCAGTATTTTCTTGCCTTCCTTGACCAAAGCAGTGCAGTATTTGCATGTGGCCACTTCCTTGCCACATGGCCTTTGTATCTCATACATATTTGTATCTCAAAGCCCCACTACAAACTCCCTTCTTTACTTTTCCACCTCCTGCCATGTTTTTTTCTTCACTTGGGATTTTTTTCCTTTGCAGAGGAGACTATTGGGCTGGGGTCTGCTATCTCAGACTGCTTGCCCTGAGGCATTTTCTAACAGCAAAGCCTTGGTGTGTCTGAACACATCATACAGGATATCACCCCTAAGACTTGCTGTGCATCTCGATACTGAAATGTGGTTACCCAGGAGGTGACTCTTCCCTGTGCACAGACAGCCTCATCCCAAGCCTGTCTTTGCAGAAGTGAGGTCCTTGCATCCCTTCCTTTTATCCTCACCCCTGTTTTATGCATGAGGCACGTTGTCAAAGGAAAATGAAGAAAGGGAAATGTCAGTCTGATGCCTTCAGCGGCAATGGCTGGTCAATGGTTCTGCAGGGGTGTGAAAACTTCCTCAGCACATCTCAGACAAACACTGGAGCAGTGGCCAGTTGTGGATGCCCCATCCCTGGAAGTGTCCAAGGCCAGCTTGGACAGGCCTTGGCGCAACCTGGGATAGTGGAAGGTGTTCCTGTCCCTGGCAGGTGATTGGAGCAAGATGAGCTTTGAGGTCCCTTCCAACCAAACTCTTTTATTGACTCTAGGATTCTATGGCTATGATCAGCTACAAAGAAGTTTTGGCTTTCTGTAGTAAAATAGAACAAAATGAATTATGGATTATCAGGAGAGGAAAGTTTGTCCTGGAGCATCTTCCCTTTGTTCTGCATTTTCAGTGCAGCTTCAAAAAAGCATACAGGTTCTTCAAATAACTGAAGTGCTATACTTTCCTTACAGGAATAGTTTCCCCAGCATGAACTTTGAAGCTGAGATTCTGACAACACCACACGATAATTCAGGTATTTGGGAGAAAAAAAAAAGAAAAAAAGAAATTAAAGTAAAATGCCCACTCAGGTTGCTATCACTACAAACATGTTTTAATTCTTTTGGAGTCAGAGATTGTTAAAAAAAAAAAAAAAGACAAAGAAGGAGGATGGTAAACTGACTGCAATTCAGGTGATTTCAGGTTTATGTTAGGGGAGAGTTCACAGTGTTGAGGATAGATATGGATGTGTTTACCTCCAACAGGGCTGCACCAGGAACACAGCTGCCAAGGACATGTGCTTTTGGAAACAGCAGAGGCATTCAATTTGAGATTGCAGTGTCCTGGATGAGACATACATGGTTCTCTTATTAGTGGTGACTAAAATCCGGTGATAAAAATGCAACTCCTTGAAAGGCAAAAATGAGGATGAAGATATTCTACCAAGTCCTGTCCTTCATCCTCATTTCATTTAAGAGGAATAGCTAATGTTTTCCCCATTGAATGATGCCTTTCAGCATTGATCTGAGACAGACCCAGCACAGCAGGGCATCCTCTCTTAGTCCTGCCATTGCTCCTCAGCCCTGAGCAGCTGGCCAGAGCCCGTGCCCTGGCAGCTGCCCTGTCTTTAGGATGGAACAGCAGGAAAGGGAGACTGTGCAATAATTGCTTGGAACCCCTTGAGTATCCCTGGGGTTTGGCTCAGAGAGAGAGACCTTGGTGTCAGTCACCCACATTTGAACAGGAGCCCAGTGAAATGTTTTGCCATCAGTTGCCCTCCTGGCCACGAGCTGCAGGTCCCAGCAGGGAATTCCCCTCCCTGGCAGCCCATTTCAGCCCCCTGCTGTCCAGAGTCACTAGTGAGAGGCACAGGGTGGACTATTTTTGCTTCAGCTGCAGGTGGCAGTGTTTGTGTTGCATCACCCCACCTGGGAGGTGTGCCAGGAGCTGCCCCCTCAGTCACACTGTCCAGCACGGGCACCAGGGACAAACCCACCCTGTGACTCCCTTCACCTTTTTTTAGTCTTCCAGAAAACCCCTCCAGTTCCATCCGTTGCAAACAGAGCTCCTCACATCTGGCTAAACATTTTGGAGACATTTTCCTCAGGCTGTCCTGTAATGATGAGTCACTTGGCAATCATGCTGATATCAAAGGGTGCCAAGAATAATTTTTGAGCCCTGAGTGTAAACAGGTTGGAAAGTGCATCCTCTGCATCGTTGTCCCAAATCCCTGGCTCCTGTTGGGTTAGGTTGGGTTCCTCCCATGAGGTAAGTGCTTTGACCCTTCACATGCCTCAAAACCTCTAACATGCAACCCATGTTTGTCTCCCAAGAGCTCTACATGATCCCTTCCATGAGGAGCCTCACAGCTGAGGAGTATGTGGAGGCCTTCAAGTCATTCTTGGAGCACTCAACGGAGCACCAGTGCATGGATGAGTTCAACAAGGAACAAATGCCCACCATCGTGGCTGGGTAAGGAGCACGTCCCCCGAGCTGGGAAAGCCATCTGTCATCCTGGGAGTCAGCAGAAACTTCTAAGGATTTTTTTTGGGCAGGAATGAACTTTAAATGCTTTTCAGTTTTAAATCCCCTACAAGCGGTCTTTAGGATATTCTGTTTAATGACTCCAGAGTATGTGCTGTTTCAATTAATACACGGTGCTGCCTCAGCTTATGTTAAGGAAAGACTCAAGACCTCATTCTCATGTCCATCTCTTTCCATTAGCTGCTTTTCCCAGGATTAAAGTTAGGGTTTTTTGGTTGTTTGGGTTTTTTTTTTTTCTGAAAGAAAGCTCTCTTGTGCTCTCTCCCGGCTTTTGGGACTTCATCACATCCATCTAAACAGAAACGCATCTCTAATTCTCTCCTAGTGGCTAATCTGTGGTTTTCCAGTCCCCTAAGACCTCCTTATTCCTACCCTAAGTCGATTTGCATTGCTTAAGTACCAAATGATAATCAGTTTTGTAAAGTATTGATTTAATATCTTAAGGCTGGATAACTGCAGACAGCTTCAGAACAGCCGAGATCCAAAGCACAAGAAAGTTCTTTTAAATCTGAGTAATTTTTGGATGCTATAGGAACTGAGAAAAAAAGGTTAGGCAGGCAAATTTTTATTCTACAGATCAGATATATATATATAAAATCAACAACAGAATAATAATCATTAAATATTATGTTAAGACATTTTAATTGTGAATTTAAATAATGGATAAAATTGTGGCTTTCCATGATGCTGATTTTGGGTTTGTCAAAGGGTCTTGACCCTCATTAGGACTAAGGCCCCTGGACTTGCTCACACCCTTCTGGACTTGCTGCTCATCCCACTCTTGTGGAATCATTACTGTGGTGCCTTCTGAGTGCTTGGGAAACTCAATCCCTCAGCTGTTATTAAGTATTCTGCCAAGAAACATGTGACTGGAGTAATTTAATAAGCAATTTTTCTAAGATAAAACAATTAGCAACAATTCAGACCCTCCTCCCAATTTCAGTCCAAGATTAATGTTGATAAGAGATGATTTCCAGTCACCTGGATATCCTCATGGCTTTGTTTTTTCTGGGTATTTATATCCAATATTCCCTCCTGAGGCTGCTGAGGTTTTTCCCAGCTCACCCTGTCCCTGCTTCCCCAGCAGTGCCATCCCAGTCAGGAACAGCCCCTTTTCCCTGGGTTTCCCAGAGGCTTTTTTTGCCAGTCACTGCCTGAAGAAATCTCCTTGGCAAAGGGTGAGAAACCCTGCACCATGGTGCCTACTGTACTTTGAAATATGAGCTGGCTGAGCCATTGGTTATCACCAGGCTCAAAAGGGGTGACCAAATTTCTGTCCCAATTCATGTGCATAACACGAAAATTTCCAGGCTGAGGCGTCATCCAAGGTGTAAGATTGAAAGCATGAAGTGGTGTGACACAGTGTGGGTAAGTAATTGTATTTATTTATTTATATGTGTATTTATCCTTTCAGTCTGGGTGCTGGAAAATCGACCCTCAGCGTTCTGGGAGTTGGGAGTGGCACAGGTGAGGAGTGTGGGGATGGGGCACGGGGGGAAGGAGACAATTGGATAATTGGGCACTGAGGATACTCAGACATTAATGGCAGCACTTCCCACTGAAGCACAGAAGGGCAGAAGGAAGAGTGGAGCTGGGATAAGAGGAGTGCTCCTTCCCTTCCTTCCCTCTCATCTCCCTTCTGAAATGCTGCTGCTCAGATCTTTCTGGGCAGTGAGAAATGAGTGATTTTAGCTTAGTTTCTGCCTCTTGGTGACTCTCACCTCATTTCATTTGCCTCAAAGTAAGGACTCCTCCTTCTACTTAGGTACAAGAGCATCTTCAAACCTTGTTGGAGAGAATTAGAGACATTGGAGAGGTTCTTTCCACCCAAAATCCTGCCTTAGACTGTCCCCCCTGAAGGGATGTCTCCTTTTGCTTTACTTTTAGGGATCCCAGAGGCCAAGGCTGGGCAGTGCCCTGCTCTCAGTAGTGCAAAACCACCTGGCCATAACCATTAGCTGATGAAAAGCTGCATCAGCTTTTTCCAGACATGTTTCTTTGTTACTGCTGTGTTTTTACCCAGTGATAAGTAGGGTTTAACTGCAAATGATATTTTTCCCCAGAGAGAAACCCATCCTTTGGAAAAATAGCTTTAAAGTTGTTCTAAATGCATTTGTGCTTAAAAAAAGCCAAAACAACAAAACAAAAAAAGTGGTGAGCAGCCAACTTTGCTCCTAGGGAAACTGGGAGAAAATAAAGAGTAGAGAAAAGAAGCAGTGGTTTGATTTGTCAGAGTTTACTTCAGCTTTGAAAAGTATTTTCAGCTGAATTTTAAGTGCTAATACTTTCAAATGAAAGCATTTTTCTCACTTTTTTTGGTTTTGTTTTCCTGAGTAAGAGAAAATTAGCATTTGATTGTTTTCCCCAACTGGGAATATGTTGGAGCATATGAGAAACCAAGCAGGAAGAAATGATTCAGTTCTCAATTACCCTCTATTTTCATTAAGTAATATAAAACAGAAATTCTGACTCCACAAAAGCACAAGGGGGAAATGAACTTTTAGCATCGTCCTTAATTTTCCTTATGTCCTCTTCAGAGGAGGTTTTAATGGAAAAATAAACCCTTTAAAATACCCTGTGTTTCCTGGGTGAGTGCCCCTCACAGATGCCAGGACAGGGGTCCAGACCTGCACCCCCCACCCCCAGCTTGCCCATGTGTGCAAGAGCTGGGGCTGGGCAGGGAGTGAGCTGGGATGGCACAGAGCAAAAGGTTATATCTGATCCCTGACCTTTTCAGAGGTGGGCTCTGGTTTCACAGAGCCCCCAGAATTAGTTTAGTTGATGAAAATATTAATGGGGATTAGTGGCCGAATCACATCCTGAAAGCCTCTGTGTGGTCCAAATCACGTTTTCTCACTCACCCCACGTTTGCTCATGGCTGGCTGAACTCTGAGCTGGAACTTTCCAGTTGCAGAGAGGTTCCAGTCCCTCCAGCACTGTCCCAGCCTTGCTGTGGGCAGTGCTGGAGGGTTGCTGCTGGCAGGGAAAGCTGCAGCAGAGAAATTCCTGCCCTGGAGTGCTGTTATTTTACTGCTTGTTTTTACAGACAGCCTGGTGGAAGATGTTGTTATCTGCTCTTGCAAACACTGCATTAAGGAATTTTACAGAGGTGGAGTGAAAAAAACTCCAAACTTCAGCAGCTTTTAAGACATCCACCTGCTGTTAATGTAACATTTGGCTCCATCGGTGGCTCCAGGGCATGGGGCAGCGATGCTCTGCCTCTGGCCCTGCCCCAAGCCTGCAGGCAGCTCTAAGGGCTGCTGCTCCCCAAGCCAGGCACTTACACACTGCCATCTAGGACTGTCACAAATGATCCAGCTGCTTGCTATTGGGATCTGCCTTCCTGTTAGCAGTGTTGGTCCCTGTACCTTCAATGGGTGCAGCCTCAGCCTCCTCCCTGGAGCCTTTGGCCTGCTGCCACTGCATTCCTCACGGGCCTGGGGTATTTTTAATCCAATTTCAAAGGACTCCTCCTTCCTGGGATGTCCCAGTAGTGCTGGCATGGCTGGTATTTCCTTCCCTGAATTCTATGTACTGCAGCACCTGCCAAGGATGACAGCTCTTCCCTGGTACATCAGCTGAAAGAGCAGGGAGGATGCAGGATCTCCTGTCAAGACCTCTCTGCGTGACATTTGCAACGCCAGGGCTATTTTTAGGCAGATACAGACAGGATTCTTGCAGAGGTCTCATCAAGGTGGTCACATCTGCTGTTTATTTACATGGTTTGAAGTGATCCAGGGGCACTCATACACTTGGCATTTCTGGGTAGTAAGCACCATGTCCTGTATCACTTCAGAAGAGGCTGGAAATTTCCTAGAACAGGAGGACAGACTGCTGCTTGCTCCTCCAGAGCTCACACAGCAGCACAGGAGCACCAACAGCTAAATTTGCAGGGCACTTCCACACAAACAAATGAGTCTCTACCTGTATTTCCAAGATAACCATCAGTTAATTGGTGCCCTGGGCTGAGACCATGTGGAGAATCCCCAAAGAGGGAGGATCCAGGATACTGCACGTCAGTGGGTCTTTTCTCTTGTGGGGCAGTTCCCCAGGTGTTGGGGCTGTGTCACAGCAGCCACTGTGCCCCTGTGGCAGCTCCAAAGCCGTGGGCCACCCCATGCAGCTGTGTCAGCTGCCTCCTTGCACCATTCAAACTTTGTGGGGTTGTTGAAACCTGTTTCATAGTTATTTTTGTAAACAGTGAGCTGTGATTCCTGTGGCCTGTCTGTCCCACAACCCAGGGTATTGCCATTAGCAGGTTTCTGTGCTGCTGCTTGTCTCTGCCTTGTTCTCAGGCTCCTCTGTACCCCTCTGAGCAGTACAGTACCATGGTAGGATTGTCACCAGGCTGTGCCACCTCATGAGCCACAAAGCAGAACATGCCTCACTTCTGCTGGGGGATTTCCTGGCAGGAGTGGTGGCTCTGCACTGGCATCCTTCCATTGCATTTACCTGCTTTCTAAAGTAGTGAATTTCTGTTTATTGAATAGGTGAGCAGGATTTGAAAATGATCAGGATACTGCAGGCTGTGCACCCAGGGGTCTTTATTGACAATGAGATTGTGGAGCCCAACCCACAGCACGTGGCAGCTTACAAAGGTAAGGCTACACCTGCTGCCTGGGTTATAGCAAGGACCATCCATCTGAATGATGAGTTTTTCTGCTTTTTATGAAATTCAGGGTTTTCTCCTACTTTTTGAAACAGAGCTGGTGAGTCAAGCTCCAGACCTGCAGAATGTTTCTTTTATTTGGCACCAGCTCACTTCCTTGGAGTATGAACAGCAGGTGAAGGAGAGAGGCACACATAAGAAATTTGACTTCATCCATATGATCCAGGTAATGGCCATTTCTTTAACACAGGGCTGTTGGATTTAACTACCCCCTTCAGTTCTGCTCCACGCTTGGATTTATGACCAGAGCTGAGCACTGCTCTCCCACAGCAATTCTGCAGAAGCTCTACAAACACCAAAGCTGGCAATGCTCAGTGCTGTGAGGTGTCCCTAAATGGGCAGGTGCAATCAGGAAAGGCTGGCAAGCATCTGGAACAGAATTTAAAACACCTCTAAAAGAAAGGGTTTAAGCCTTTGGAGGGTCATTGCACCGTGGAGGAAGAATAATGGCTGTGTGTCACTGTCTCTTCTAGATGCTGTATCGTGTGGAGGATATTCCCAGTACTATCAAGTTTTTCCACAGCTGCCTCGACCATCATGGCAAACTCCTGATCATAATTTTGTCAGGTAAGGGAGACCTTGTATTTTTTTTGCTCCATTGCTGGAGTTTTGAAGAGCTTTGAAGTTTGAGAGCCACAAATATTTATCTGGTGATGTCAGTGGTGCTTATTCTATAGTAAATAACTAAAAAAAATTGCTGGATTTCATATGGAAAATGTAATTTTGGGCTTAGCCTTGGACCCCAGTGTCTGATGGGGCCACTTAGGCACAGCCTTTGTGCTCTTGCTCCCCTGCTTGTGGAATTGATGTAGTAGAGAGAAGGGTGGCTGTCCATGAATGAGGGTCCATCCTTCCTCATGGTGAAATCAGCACTGCAAAAACACAACCTGAGCTCTGGGTGGACTCATCCTTAGGGTTCTTTGTACAGCAATGACCCACAGCCCAGAAGGACAGCAGATGCTGCTGAGAGCTGCAGGCTTTATGGCAGGACACGAAAAAAGAGGCACAACATGATGGCACTTCTTAAAAGAATTGAGTGTTTCATCCCTTGGCGCCATTCATGAATCCCCAGCTCACGGTGTGGTGGGAAAAGCACAAATTCCCATGTTCCCCATAAAAACTGCCTCTCCCATTGCCTGTAGGCTGTTTCCCTTGCTGTCTGGGGCTGCTTTTTGAGGTATGTCTTATTCAAAGAGCACTTACAATTGAGGTTTGATGTGAAAACATCTGCACTGCTTTGGCCAAGGCACAGTTAAGAGGCAGCACGGGATGTTGGGGCTCAGCACATTGGTACCTCTGTGTGTGTACATTGGTACCTCTGTGTGTATCCTTCCTTCTGGGCAAATTCAGTGCTGGAGACATCTCCTAGGAGTTTTGTTTAAGCAGGGCAGTTTTGGAGGAAGGGTTGAGGGAAAGCAGGGTTTTATGAGGCGCAGATATTTATAAGTAGTCTCGAGGAGGGGTAAAGCTCTCCTCATGCCCTGTCAAGGCTGGACCAGCAGTGAGGGAGCTTTTCCACCTCGTTTCATAGCTGGTGTTGACTGCCTTGGCTTTTCCATAATAAATTTCCCTGGTGGCCTGCAGACAGCAGCGGCTGGGCCAGCCTGTGGAGGAAGCACAGGGACTGCCTGCCCGCCACCGACAGCGGCCACTACATCACCTGCAGCGGCATCACCGAGGTGCTGCAGGGGCTGGGGGTGCAGCACCGCGTCTACGAGCTGCCCTCGGGCTGGGACATCACCGAGTGCTTCGCCGAGGGGGACGCGGAGGGCGGCCGCATGATGGATTTCCTGACGGGCACCAAGAACTTCCTGGGCACGGCCCCGGCGGCGCTGCGGCGGCGGCTGCGGGAGGCGCTGCGCCAGCCCGAGTGCAGCAGCACCCGGGACGGCAGGGTCATCTTCAGCAACAACCTCAGCATGATCGTCGTGGACTCCTAGAGCCACGGCTTGTGGCTTGTTGTGAACAGCGTGCATCCCGCCTGTGCTTTCGCTGGGACTGGCACTGCTCTGTGGGGTGGCGGCAGGTTTGCTCGCCCACAGAGGAGCCTGCGCGGCCTTGGCGGCCGTGAGGGAGGCAGCCAGGTACAGACCTATGCTCCACTGTGATGCCTTCTGCCCCAGCCGGGCCGCCACAAACTGATTCCTCGTGAAGGCTGGCCTAGAACAGAGCTAAAGAATGAAGTAGGGATTTATTAGGAGGCCTCCATGGATCCACCTTGGGCAGCGCAAGAGCCCAGCCAGGGCTGCACCCAAGATGAACCAAAATGGTCACAAAATGCACGAGTGCTCACGGGGTCTCTCACTTTTATAAGTTCTGCTCCATTTGCAGATTGGAGTGAATTGCCAATCACAGCTTTAGCCCATGAAGTCCCATCCTTCTTGTTTTTCTCTCTTCAGCCGATGTTTGATCTCTTGGGCCTGAGATTTGGATCATTTGTCCTTGGTCCCCAGCTAGAAAAAGAATTGTTTTGTCTGCCTCTCTCTGTGAAGAGAGCTCACCATCCCCTAATACGAAGCTCAAAAGTTCACACTAAAGCAACACAGAATCTGAAAACTATAAAAGCTAAAACCTGAGGCATCACCAGGACAAAACCACCAAGATGTCCCATCTGCTTTGCACCCAGGTAATGTCACTGCACCCAGGCCCGAGCTGTAAGTTGCTCTGCACTAGGCTATTTCACGTGGTTTTATTGGCACAGACATTTACTGCCCCAAGTCTCTCAGCATCTCACGACATAAATTCTTAAAAATTTAGTCTTAAAAATTTATCAGCCTTTTTGTTTGGAGAATATTTTGGAACCCAGGATGATACTTGCCCTGTGCTCTTTCAGGCAGACATTAATTTTGTTACTTTCTTACTACTGTTTGTCTCCATATAAAATAAAAGCAATCTTAAAACAAAAAAGTCACATTTGGTTCTGCACACGTGGGATTATAGAAAATGAAGAGCAAAGAGGTCATTGAGTTAAAAACCAAAAAATATGCAAAGTACCATTTTATGGAAGGCTTTAAGGGTTTCTTGTAAGTGAGAAAGATGAGCCTGAGGATGTGGAAGAGCTGGGAGAGGGCTGCAGCTTGTCCTTGTGCTGCAGCCCTGGGAGGAACCTTGGCTCTCTTGGAGCAGCATCACTGCAGCACAGCAAAACAGCACTAAAATGGGATGTATGTGGTTAATATAGGTAAGTTAAGACTATTTCCCAAGGGCCTGAGCTGTTCAGAGAGCTGGAGGAGGTGCTGCCAGGGCAGCCAGCTCCAAAGGGAGATGCCACTCAGGATGCCAGTGAAGTCTGGTTCTGCATTGGACACCGTGGTGCTGTGCAGACCTCAGACTGAGCACATGGGGAAGCTGCCTGCAGTGCCAGCAGCCTCACTGCAAACAGCTCCAAGGGGGGAAAACCCAGCTCAGGTGGGAAATACCTGCAGGCACAGAAGCCCTCTGTCTCTGGGTCTGATTTTTCCATGCTTAAGCTGGGTAGGACACACCTGTGTGCACCTGGAGGGGCTCAGGTGGGGGTGTGGTGTGGGTCAAATGGCTTCTTCCAGCACCATGAGCACGTGGGTGGTCACACTGGCTTGTAAGACATTCCATGTCCCTGTCACCCAGAGTCCTGCTGATCCTGCTAAAACTGTCCCACCCCACCCAGCTGAATGCAGTTACTGCCAGGGGCAGCATCACCCTGAAAAGGTAATGAACCCATGAAGTCCTTGTGTCTCCACTCTGGTTTTTCGGGTACTTTTTTAGGTTTGGGTTTTATCATATATTTTTGAAATGCAGCCATTTCTCCTGAAACTACTGTAACAGGAAAAATGAACAAAATAATGGGAAAACAGCAGCATGATATCATCTCCCTGGCAGGACTGAGGCACCCTGGCCTGCAAGTACTATTGCAGTCAGTTCCAGAAACGTCAGTCAAGACTGGACAGCCTCCTCCAGAGTACCCCATACCTGTGCACAAGCTTTTCCCTTTGATCCATCCTATTGTTTATTCCACAGGCATCCCCTCTGCTGGTGCTGGCTCCCAGCACGGGGCAGGGAGTGAGCAGCTGGGCTGCTGGACAGGATCTCAGCACTGCTCCCATCAGTGCTCTCCTTCCACCATGAATTCCCATGGTTTATTTCCAATCAGCAGTGGTTGCTCTGTCTCTGCCTGGTGGATTAAGATGAAAAACAAAAGGTGCCATGAAACAGGCTTGCTTTTCAAGCTTCAAAGATCTCTGTCTCTTCCTGGTAGATTAAGATGAAAACAAAAGGTGCCATGAAACAGGCTTGCTTTTCAAGCTTCAAAGAAAAATCTGCCTGTTAGTCTTTGCAGAAATTTGGCACAATACAGGTTTGCCCAGATCTTCCCCAGCCCAAGAGGTTTTCCACCCCTGCACAGACAGACACATTTCCAATAAGCAGATACTCAGCAAGACCCAATTGTGAGCACAGAATTTGCCCACATTATTGTAAATCAATGTGCAAATGCTCAAAAAAAGGGAGCACTTCAAAGCAGACTGTTTAGTGACAGGCTGGGGAGATGAAACAGGGCACCCCATTAAAAACACAGCTGATCAATGATTTATGTGTAATTTTTCCTTTGATTCTTCAAAAGCAAGTAGTTTATCAACAACTCTGCGTGTACACTTGGAATAAATAGCATCCTAAGTGTCCCATTTGTTTGTATATTTATTCTTTGGTGAACGTGCTGTTTAATAACTACTTGTTTTGCTTTCTAAAAGACGTTCTTCTCCCATGCAGAATTTCAGACTGTGCTTCCCCAGCAACAGGAGTGTGGCCACGAGAGGGCTGCAGCAGCCAGCGGAATAAATCCACCTCAATCCACCTCCCAAAGCTCTGGAAATGCTGAGCTGAAGCAGCAGAACCAGACATTCAGGCAGACAAATGCATTCAGCTTCCTCTGCTGGCTCATCACACCCTGATCCCAGCAGTTGGGACCACACTTTTTCCTACTGAACTCATGGGCTCTGACTCTGGGCTCTGGTTTGTAAAAAAGTCACGATGGCACAGCACAGCTGCCACAAGGGATGCACAAAATCTGCTTTTGGATTGTTTTTTTTTCTCCCACTCGATGGCTGGAGTGCTGCAGCTCGGCTGCTACGGAGCTCAGGTCTGTGGACAGGGACCCAGGAGTGACAGATCCCAGGGAGGGAAACACCAGGAGGGGGATGGCAGGAGTGAGAGGCTGCTTCAGCCCTACATTTGAGCCAAATTGACCCTGCTGAGCTCAGTCCAGGAGGAGCTGTGCTCCATAATGAGTTTCCTGGCAGTTCCCATTAGTGAAGAGCCAGTCTGTGTCTCCCAGAGGGAATTGTGATGCTCCATCAGCACCAGTTTGTTCCAGCCCAGGGAGAAGGCTTTTGTGGATAAGTAGGCTGCCCTGTGCTCTCTGCAGCAGAATCAATGCCTGCAAAACCCAAACTGTGCAGTTTCACATGGAGCAGTTGCAGATTTTTTCCTGATTTCCAGTTCATAATATGCCCATTTCAATGCACAGCTCTGCTTGTGTTACAGTCCCCTAAAAAGGAGCTATAGAGAACAAGTTTTTAGAACATCAAGGATGGATAATTTTAGTTTTACTGGGCCTATATGCAGTCTTGGGGGCTGAATGGTTTGCCTTTGAAGTGTTAAGGCTTCTCTACTCATGAATATCATCAGGGGAATGAAGGTAGCATGGGAACTGCAAAATCTAGGAGCTGATTTCTGAATAATCTCATTAAAAAACAAGCTCAGTAAAATACTGGAGCATTTACTAAAAAGATTATACTTAATCTCAATAGGAGGGAAAAATAAAGAGACTGAACTTTTTTCCCTCCCCCTTCAACATTTTCTCACAGAAATCTGTTGAGGTTTATGTCAAGCATGTAGGATTGTGCTCACATTTTTGGAGCTTATAAAGGCCTTCATAGGAATAATAACCTCCTGGACAGAGCTCTAGAAAGGTATTTCTCATCCTGCTTTTTAAACAGAATATTTTTTTCAAGATCCTATCCTCCAGACTGAGGATGAATATGTAATCCAAGTCTCAAATATCTTTATTATTGAGCATTGCTTCTTGTAGTCACTCCCCTCCCTTACTGAAGTATCAACAGAAACTTAAATCTTGCTAAATGGTGAAAGTCCTCTTAGGCAGAGAATGTGTTGTTCATCCCCCATTCTCCTTTAATTCCTTGTTAACAACAAATAAATAAAGAAAGAAACAAATCCCTCCAAGAGAAATGTTTGGAGCACAACCTCCAGCTGGAAAGGTCTGGTGCTGAGGAGGGTTTGTGGGACATGTGAGATGGCAGAATCCCAGTGGGGCTTTTCTTCTCATCTCTGAGAAGGAACAGGGAAGAGCAGAACAGGAGTTTCATTTCCACTCCCCACTTCTGATGACACGTTTGATTAGACGTGCCAGCAAATTGCCAGAGAAAACATATGTTTTGTCATACATTGTAATGATGGTTCCTCTGGTGAATTTATAAGCGTGATAAGGAAATTTTCAGAGCGGTCTCTGAGTCCCTATTGCTTTGTTAACATTTTTTAGCATCCTATTAATCACTCTGTATGTATCTGTCAACAGCTGATATTATGGATTAAGGAAGATTACAGCTCATTGCTCCAGTGGCTGTTTTCTTTAGGATTTAACTCCACAGGCACTTTGCCACTCACCTCCCTCTGACAAAACCAGCCCCTTGCTTTTGCCAACACTTTGCAGTGCTTCCCTGACTAAGAGTGGGTTTACTTTAAAAAGTATCAAAAGTGCTCATACAGGAGGGAAACATTTTGATTTTGTTATTTCTAGAAGAAGGGCTAACACACTTTCAGTGCTGAACAGAGTCCACAAGATCTTGATTTACAGATGTTTCCATGCAGATTAATGTTGACTTTGTTTTGTCATGCTTGTGCAGATCATGTCACTTGTTATTTGGGGAAAGGGGATGTTATTTGAGGAAATTCAGAAAAAAGTTCTACAGGTTGAATAAATTTAACTCATAGAGTTTCTCCATTCTTTACTATCAGCTATAGGCTGTTCTCCAATTCTACGTATTTCTTATCCACTCTGGGATACAGAGAAATCCTCGTGACTCCCATCATGCAGTAAAAAGCAGAATTAACACTGCAGAATACAACAGCTAACCCATTAATTACCTTCAGACTAAAATTTATTCACCCAAACTTACTCCCTTGTGCCAGGACTTGTTTTTATACACAAAAACAATAATATCAGAAATACCAGTTTTGACCTAGACATTTTTCCTGAACTTAATGTTTACATCTTGTCTCCAAGGCCTTATCATTCCTCTCTCCCTTCTCTGGCAGAGCATCTCCCCACCACAGCCTCATCCCAAAGCAGCCACATTAAAGAAAACTTTCCTGCCATGCTCAGAAGATGCAGGGTCATGGCCAGCCTTGGTCCTGCTCACTTGCAATTCCTGCCAAATGTTAATGCAGATTTCTTGCTTCAGAGCCTCAGGTGACACAAAGCTGCTCTGGGTGTTTTACTGGGAGCCTCTCACCCCATTACAAATGTCCTAAAACAACAGGCACTGCCAGAGCCTGCCTCCTCTGCACTTGGTGTAAATTATCCCTGGGCCACTGCTTAATGTTTATTATTTCTGAATCTTTGAAATTTTAAACTGAGGACATTAATATAACCTATAGTACAAGGCCAGGTAAAGGGGTTAATTGGAGAGGAAATTTTTGCTTTGCTGTATGGGAGAGCTGTATTTTATTCCCCCTAACCCATAGCAAATACAGTCCCCAAATTCATTCTTGTTTTGGTGGGAATTTAAATAAATCTTCCAGTTCCATCGCTCGGCCACAAATTGCTGCTAAACATAATTAGCCTTTCTACTGCTACTGGAGCCTTGTTTATTTATGTGTCAGTCCCTGGAAGGTGTAGTGTAGGAATAAAATTT